CTTGTTCCCCTTTGCGCCCCCCCCCCCCCCACTGTCCACCCCATGGGGCTGGAGCATACAGTCTATTAGGCTGGGCTCCCCTAGGCTCTAGTGTGCACGAGGGGAATGTGGAGAGTGTCTTCTTAGTTAGGGGCCATGTCACTGAGGGTTGGTTGTTGTTTTGTGTTTTGCTTCTCACTTGTGTGGCTCCTGACTGATTTTTATGCGAGTCAGCAGCCTCTGACTCAGAAAAGTTTCCCCACCCCTGTTCTAGATGCTTCTGTTATACAAGAGCAATAAAGGCTTTGCTGTGTGGAGTGGGAGCCATTGCTGTAGGCTGTTTTGTACAGTATGAAATTCCTGGAACTAGTATTTCCTCACTGAGCTGTGGCTTACACTAGTGCAGTGCAGAAATGCTGGTTGGTACCTGTCTTCATGACCTAAGACATAGGGAAGCCTTTCAGTTCTGGCTGCAGTTGGAGTGGGAGCCGCCCTATGAATGGGTCTAGGTTTTAATTAAGTAAATTAACTGCTTGGAATAATCCTTTGCATGGCATCATGGGCATTGTAAAAGAAAATGGTTATCCAGGAAATTGTGGGTGCAGATGACACATCATCAATGCAGAAAATTGTACTTCATGTTAGCAGAAGTTTGCTTTTGCTCTGTCCTAAGTGGTGTGTGTTTCATTGTACAGAAGCTACTGTATAGATACTTCAGAAGGAAAATGAGGTGCGAATTCTAGTCTGGACTAAATGAGTAGTTGTGGGAGAGAAAGAATGTTTGCAATAAAAACAAACTGGTACTATTCTGGCTGTTTACATTTATTTAATCACTTGTGCACTTAACTATCAGTACACCTGCAACCTAGTTCAACAGTACGTTTTTAGCGTTAAAGATGATTATTTTTCATACCATGCTTGAGTATGTATGGCTATGAAAGAGAGATGACAAACACATTTCTTTTAATCTGTGATATATTGAACCAAAAAGAAAAAAATCTGACACTAGAAAAACATTTACCACTTGCCCACCCTCCATGAGGACTTAGGAGCCAGCATATACTGATGTGACAGCTGTGTAAACAAGCTGTCACTGGTTCAGAACTGCCCTGGCACCTTGCTAAGAAGTATTTGTCCCCAGCCTGAGCACCTGCCCCGGTCCCAATCCCATGCCTACACGTGCAAGTGCCTGGAGTGAGCTCCATATGGCTAGCTTTCAGCATGCCTACTGCCTGGCTAAGGGGGGGCGAGATCTGAGTCTGTGCCCCACCCTCCTGGTGAAACAAGGGGTCAGTGGAATACGAAATTCAGCCCCCTGAGCGGCTGCCCTGGACCTGACTCCTCCCCTAGCAGTGGGGTTTACCCCTCCCCCGGGCCTGACTCAGCCCCACCCGCTCCCCGGTGCAGCCCTCGACCCCTAGCTCCCGCAGGCGTGTTGCCCCGCGTTCCCATAGCGACACGTCCCTGCTCGCCCACAGGGGGCGGGCCTTTGTGACGCCGCGACGGGCCCCGGGAGCTAATCGCGGCGGCGAGCCGGGGTCACGGGGGGTTTGAATCGCCCAATGGGGGAGCTGCGGGCAGCGTCCCAGAAGCGGACCCGGAAGTTCGGCGGCGGGTCCCGCTGCTGCTGCTGCTTGTCCTGCCCTTGCTGCTGCCCCCTGCCCCGCCCCCCCTCGCCTCGGCCCCGGGCTCCCCATGGCGGTGGCAGCAGCAGCAGCAGCACTAACTATCGCCGCCTCGCCGCCAATTTCGAGGAGATCCTGAGGCGGCGGCTCCGATCCCGGCTCGGCCCTACATGGTGAGAGGGGCGGGAAAGCCGGGGCCTGAGAACTGGGGGGCGCTGTCTGAAGAGGGATATCGCCCCCCCCTCCCGCGGTTGCTGGGGGATTCCGGACTGGCCGGGGGCGCGGAGCTCTCCATGCGCTGGAGCGGCTCACACCCCGCGGGCTGCTGCTCTTTCCTGTCTGCCCCTCAGGGAGAGGTTGTGGGGTGTCCGTGGCGTGCCCTTTGCCTTGTTCTTTCTTGGGGCTTCGTCCATCCGCCCCCTGGGGACTAGATCTGTCCGTAGTTCCTTGGCCAGTCCAGAAATGAGTCCTTCCACCGCCCCCGCAGGAGACTGGCTCTACAGTCAGGAAGCTTTTACAATAATTTGTCAGGCTTCAGTGTTGCCTTCTTACTTTTGAGCCTTTGGGGTTAATCTCTTCAAACTTTTGTCTGCAGCCTTTTAGGTAAACTTACTTGTTAATAAGCGATACTTGTGAATAGCTGGGGCTTTAGGAAATAAATTCCAGGAGATACGATAATGAGTTAATAGTGGTTGCTGTTGCTCAAGGACAGCTCATTTATTCTTCGAAGTGTCTGGTCTCGCTGGTGAAAAGAAAATATGTGGGCTGAAATGTCCGTGTCAGTATTGCTGTTAGTCTTCCAATGATCTGCTTTAAATTCCCTGATAGATTTACATTGTAGTTCGTTCATGTTTTCTGCTCATTAGTGGAGTTTAGTTACTTGCCAAGACTGAGATAACCAAACACTGCAAGTGTATTTACAGTCACTTATCTGACAAGAAGCAGGAGAAATTCTTTCACTTCTGCAAACTCTGTTCTCAGTTTCTAAATGCACATTTTCCCAACCTGGAGATTTTTGTCCCCCCTTCTCTCTCAGATAATTTTGTTAAACCTATTCTGATGTGTTTTCTTTCCTCTTCAACAAACACTTTTACCATACAAACTTAATAATTTTCACAAGCCTGAAAAATCTCAGCCTCTTCAAAATGATGACTGAAGTCTTTCTGAGGTTGATTTACTTTTCATGATCAGTGGGCATGATTTGGCTAATAGCTTTGGGTATTATCACTTCTGTGCTGCAAGATGTTATGTCAATTAAACTGAACTGTTGCTAAAACTACTTTTATAGTTCATCTGCATGGGAAAATTTATTGTCATATAGCAGTATATTTTAAAAATTATATAAATAACTAAAAATTATAACTATGCTGCTATATTTATATTGGTGTGTCTCCCTATGTAGATGCTCTTATTATGTAAAAATGAGTGTGTTTTTCTAGTTTAGAAACAAGTAGTCCTGTGGCACCTTAGACACTTAAATATATATAGTATCATGAGCTTTTGTGGGCAAAACCCACTTCCTCAGATGAGTGGGAGTGCCACTCTACTCATCTGAGGAAGTGTGTGTTGCCCACGAAAGCTCATGATAATATATTTGTTAGTCTCTAAGGTGCTACAGGGTACTCATTGTTTTTAAAGTTACAGACTAACATGGCTACCCCCAGGACTTTTTCTGGTTTAGTTGCTTCCAAATTATTCAACCCATAATAAACATCCGTTAAGAATAACTATCCTCTTTCCACATGTCTGTAAGGATGTTTAATTTAGTATTCTTTTTCGTGCCATTTATCCATGTATTCCTCATTTCATGCTGCTCTTACCTGCCAAATTGCAATAATGAGCACAGAAAGTCAGTGTCTTTTTTTTAAATTTATAGACATTTGTCTATTATGTGAAACTGATTTTATACCATTGGAAAAGCTATTGTTATGAGCATTCATCGAGTAGGAAGTCTCTGTTTGTAGCAGTTCCTGAGATAACAGTAGCTAAAATTGTCAGACTCCAAGAACAGGAGGAGCAAGATGATGATCAGAAATGATGTCTCTTGAAGATTTAATAGTTTGACTTGGCAGGGTTAGAAATGTTTTGGAAGAAGAAAGCGCAGATAGTTGTCAGGATCAGGGATATCTGGTGAACACCAGTCCCAAAATATTTGTCAGAGGTGGTTTTTTTTTTTTTTTTTTTTTGGTAGTGGTTTGAGGGGAGCTATGGCCAATCCATCCTGCAGAATCAGGTGTCTTACATGGGATACATCTTAAAATGCATCAATCACCATCATCTAGCTTAATGTTGTATGTATCATACCTGAAATGGAAATCAAAATACTTATTTTAATTTCTTTATTTTAATATTTCTTGTGCAAAGAATGCTAATGTATGCTGTCTTTTGAATGGGTTTTAAGCATCTAGCATGTTTGAGTCAGGAGTATGTTACCTTTCTGTTCAAGGAAATAAGAATCATAACAATACTAGCAACTTCTCCTATTAGTAATCCCAATCATATTTCTCCCATCAGGTTTCCCCCCTCCAGCAAAAACGAGATAACTGCAGTCTCAGCACAAAGAAAAGTGTCACAAGGAGCTGAGGATCTTATGCTAACTGTAAGTAACTGGGATTGGAATGATGTAACTCTTCTTTTTGCTGTACTCAGGTTAGTGGTGTTCCTTTTCTTTTCCAAGAGGTAACTTTTGCACTTCTATAAAATACAAAGGAATTAAACTGTGAATTGATTACTTCACATTTGTTTTCATGCTCTGCTCTTGTGTGTTAGGCACATAATTAATGTGGAAATAAAATGTATGCATTATTTATAAGAAATAACCTGCAGAGACAAATATAGACTCCAGTCCTGCAAGCACTTGCACGTATTTAACTGTTAGAGTTGTGAGTTGTCCCATGGAAATCAAATGCTTAATTTTAGGGGCTATTCATAATGCTTAATTTTAAGCACAAATATGTTTGCAGGATCAAGCCCATGTTACACATCTGATTGATTCCTTTTTGTTTTCCTAAGTCTATTAGTTTGCTAGTCAAAGTGTAATGGGCCTGTTTGTAAAAATTGTGTTCAAAATCAGATGGTATTGCTAATCAGAGCTGTGGGCATGCTCTAAGACCTTGAACTCTGGTGACTCTTACAGACACCCTCTACCAGTATAACATTATCTTTACATTGTCTGTACCATCCCATGTCCAAATAAAAATGAAGGGCCAGATTCAGCTGTGGTGTAACTAGAAGTTTATGGAGTTATTTTAAATCTTACACCAAAGCTGCATGTGATCCAAAATGGCAGGTGCTAGTGAAAGGAAGCTCAAACTGTGTCCTCAGTACCTTGACCCATCTCAGCAATTGTAGCTGTCTGGGTACAGGTGTCTAGAGGCACTTGTCCAGCTTGATTGGAGCATAGGGAAATTTTATTATTTCCAGTTTCCTTATTCACAGGTTTCCTTTCACTGTATTGCCCTTTCCCGTTTGTTGGAGAAGAACTATGAAGAACCGCTCCACATCTCCCCCTTTGCACGTTCACGTGGATGAAAACACCCCTGTCCATGTCCATATAAAAAAGGGTCAGAAAACAACACCTGCAAAAAGCCAGGTAGGAGTGTGTAGTTGGGTGTTTGTAAGGGCTACAAACCAGAACAGTGAAGGATCCTAGAAGCACCACTAAATGTTCAAGGTCTGTTTCTACCATAGATAGACAGATAGATAATAGGTGAGCAAAATAAGATTGATCAACTTCTTAACTGCATTTATTTCAATATGAATTTTCAGCAATACTTTTAAGTAATCTTAAAAATTGAAAATGTATCTCTATTAAGGTGATTTAATTTTATATTTACATGTATAGTTGTGTTACCCTTTGTACTTCTACTGGGTCTTTAAACATTTTCAAAGCCTTTAATTATGCTTTAAGTTATACCTTTCATCTACCATGAGAGGCAAATGGCTGAACTGACACACAAGTAAGTTAAGTGGGTTGTCCAGAGTCATGCACTTAATCATGATGGAACCAAGACTAAAACACATTCCTTTGCTCTAGCAACTAGACTTCCCTGCCACCCTTTCTTTTGCTGAGGAAAACCACTCTATTATACAGATGCTCTTTAGACACCTAATATATTTTCATTTTAGGGAAGCATTGTGCTTGTCTAAAGTGTATAGAAGTCCTGCCCCAAATTAACATCTTTTGTTCTGGGTTGGCATCTGGGCAAACTGCTGCCTATGATCATCTCTTTGTCTGGAGGAAGGGTTGTTGATGGTAGCTGGACATCTCAGATTGCACTTGGATCAGGTTGAATGAAAAATTAGATTTAAAAAGACTCTGGGTTGAAGTAATTTCTTGTTGCATAGACAGGTTTTTTTCAGTCTAGGCTAGTGGATCCCAACCTTCTTGAGCATACGTACCCCTTTTCAATCTATTAAAATTTTATGGCCCTCCCCTCCCTAGGAGAGAAAAAAAGAACAGGAAAAGAAAGTAAGGATTGGGCCCACTTTCCACAGACCCCTGGCAGTACTGTTGTGGACCACCAGCGGTCCGGACCACAGGTGGGGAACCACTGGTGTAGGCTGTCTTCTCTTTGACATTGGGCAAGAGGATCTGGCAAGTAGCCTTAGATTTAACTGATTGAGTAGTGGTGGGTAGGCTTTAGTTCCTAGTTGAAGGGTTTGAAGTCCTCAGAAATCGAGGTCATTCTTGAAATGGCAAATCCAAAAGATGGTGAGTGCTAGGCTAGCCTATTGTTCTTTAAGTCTGCAACAGTTATATTTTTCTTTTCACCTTCCCCGGTTAACTGTGTATAGGATGTCACTAGTGAATATGTTAATGGGGTATACCTGATGATATTCAGCTATATGACTCCTTCTGCTTTTGAACCACCTGATTTTCTGATCAAGGTTCAGAATTGTGCAAAAATACCTGCAATTTCATTTAGATAAGGAAGAGTTAGCTTAAGCTCAACCCATGTAACAGTGAGAATACCTGTCAGTCACAAAACAGGGAAAGGGTTTCCAGGATTTTTATAGGTCAAAATTGCCTCCTGGTAACCCATCTCCCCCTTACTGCACCATGCCTACTGTTTGTAAGTCAGGTCTTGGAGATAAGGGGGATCCACCTAGTTTGCTCTTCCTGCATAGCAATAGATGTTGCAGCACTGCTTTTAGGTGTGTCCTCTCACTCAGGCTCCCCTTTTCTCTTTAACCTTGACCTCCCTTCTGTTGTTCTCTCTGAAATGGACTTTCTCAATAGGCCAACTCAAGCTATTTAGGACTACATGTAAAATTAGAATCCTCTAGATGCATGATACGCAGCAGCTAGCATACTTCCCCTTAGTTCACCTTTTTTTGCCTGAAGTTTAATTGGAATTGGACTTAAGAACAGGAAATTCTTGGTTCAGGGACCTCTATTCTCCCTTAATTCCTGTGGTACCTGATGGTCTTCTGCGGTTGTCTTTAAGGTTTGGTTTAAGATCTTGGCCTTATTTTCTTATGCTCTTCCTCCTTGGAACACTTTTTGTCCCAGTTCTCTTGATTTAAATATTGTTACTTGGCCTAATTTGCTTTATTTCATGTTTGTTGTGTCCAGCCTCCCAGGTAGTTTTTAATATGAGTAATTTATACATTAAGACATAAAATGAATCCAAAGAAGTGAAATGGAAGTAGGATGTCACTCAAGTTCTGATGCAAAACTATGCAAGCAAATGCCTCAAAATGTAAAAAAGGACAGACCTCTTTAACACCAGCTAGATGTATTTTTACAGGGTAACCAAGGCCCTTGTTGCATCATAAGAGGCAGAGATATAAGTGATGTCATAAAGGCACTGTCTGACAAATACCAAGAATGCTTTCATTTCGGCTATATGCTCTCCTATATATGCAATAAGTTTTTCTTGTGCTTGGCTGTGCCTTGTTCCCTCAGCTGCTGTCTCTCCTCTCTGCTTTGGTGTACCATGTGAAGCAGTCTGTAGTACTACTGTAAGAATGATGTGCAACTCTTACAACATTTAAGGGTTAAATGATTTTTTTAAAAGTCTTGTTTTATTTTATTTTTTCTTTCTCTTTCAACAGAAACACAAACAGAAAATGAAAGGGGATACTGTGAACGTGCGCCGAAGTGTCCGGGTGAAAACCAAGGTCCCATGGATGCCTCCAGGCAAAACATCCATCCGGGAGTCTGCCTATAAGTGGGAGGTATGGCTAACTCTTGCTTTTTAAATTGAGTTGGACTTGGAGATGGTACGTAATGTGAGGATTGGAGGAAGCAGGTTGGAGGACAGTATCAGGATTGAAGTGTGCTGGGCCATTGTTAAAGTGGCCACTACCAACTGGTAGTCATTTTAAACTTTCAGTATTCACGTCTGGCTTTTGGAAACTTATTTGTACAATCTCTCTGAATGGGAGATTCATCATGTGCCTGTTTTGTCTACAACTATCTGTCCCTTTCTCCCTCTTTCCCGTTCCATTCCTGATGCTGGAAGGCTGGAGAAATCTTCCCTCATTTATACCTTTTCTACTTCCCTCTCTAAAAGACCTTATCTTGAGACATAGCTCACTTTATAGGCTACTATGTCTGCTTTGTCTGTCATCAGATTAAACAATAAGGAGTCTAGTAGCACCTTAAAGACTAACAATTTGCTTATGGCATAAGCTTTTGTTAGTTGCAACTTGTTTAATCAGATGCATAAAGTGAAAGAAACAGCCTGTCGTCAGATTGCTAGAGAGGAGCATATTGTGCAACCTTTCCCACCAGGGACTGAATGAGCTGCCCATTCCCAGCTCCTACTGGCTTGGAACTTATGAGTGATTTTCCTTCATGACCATCATCTGACCAAGCTAATCCCTACGGGCATGTCTATACAACAGGGCAAAAGTCGAATTAAGATACGCAACTACAGCTATGTCAGTTGCATAGCTGAAGTCGAAATAGCTTAATTTGGCTTTTGGCGCAGTCTATGCAGCAGGTAGTCCAAGGAAGAACACTTTTCCTTCGACTTCCCTTACTTCTCATGAATTGAGGGTTATAGGAGTGGGAGTAAGAAATCCTCCATCTTGATATGATTTTGAAATAATGGCTTGCCTTGTAGATGCGCACTTTGTTATTCTGAAATAACACTGCTGCGTAGACATATCCTACCTATGATGTTTTGGTGGAGTTGAAAGTATCTTTTTCTTCTTTACAAGCCTAGTACAATTTACTGAAACAGGTTGAAGTAGAGAGAATTATATAGCCTGCATTATCTCGCCCTCATTCGAATTTTTTCAGAGATGTGATTTGGTCCTAGATTGGTTTTGGAGATGTTAAGGCTAAAATATTGCACTTCCCTTTTAAAAAGGCCATGATTATTACATCCCCACCAGGGACCAACCCATCGCTTGGAAATTACTCCTCCAGATTCAGAAAAACTTCTCTCGGTGCTGCGTCTGAGTGACCTCTCTACGGATGAGGAGGATGCTATTCACAGCAAAATGAACAAATATGAAAAAAAGATAGATAGCCTGATGAATGTAGTGGGGACACTGAAGAATGAGGTGAGAAGACCATACTAAAGGCCCAGAGGCTTGGGGACAATGGGGAGGGGCTTGCAGACTAGGCAAAGTGAAATGGAAAGAGGAAACTTGACAAGAGGAGGCTAAAGACAGGGGTAGAGTGTTGAAAGGCAAATGGGTGCTCAACTCATTTCTTATGTCTTAAAAAGGCTGCTATGAATGGATTGAGAAGGGTTTAGCTACCCTGATGCATCGTTTACCTTAGCATTGTTTACTAACAAGGTTTCAGCTTTCATTCACATTAGGTATATCTCGGCTATAGATGAATGAGAGGCCTTTTTTACTTATGCTACAATGAACGATGGAATGTGTATTTGTCATACAAGATGATGCTTTGCCTCAGTTTCCATGCATAAAGTCTTGTTCCCACCAAGGTCCTAATTCTTTCCACAAGGTGTAACAGTTAACTCGAACTAAGGACTTAGTTCGAGTTAACGTTTGACTGCTGTGTGTAGCCGCGGGCAGTTAGTTCGGACTAAGGGGATTTAAAATTGATGCCCGGATGGGAAGATGCAAATAAAGCCTGGGATATTTAAATCCCGGGCTTCATTTGCAAGTTCTAATGCCTACATTAGCCTCCCTAGTTCGAACTGGGGGCTAGTGTAGACATACCTTTAGAGGCTAACAAAAATATAGATAGTATCATTAGCTTTTGGGGACACAACCCACTTCTTCAGATGACAAATATTTGTCATCTGAAGAAGTGGGTTGTGCTCAAGAGAGCTCATGATACTATTTATATTTTTTGTTAGTCTCTAAGGGTACATCTACACTGCATGCTTATTTCAAAATAAGCTATTCCAGAATAACTATTCTGAAATATTTTATTTTGAAATAGCATGTCTACACTGCAGGAAAGCCTCAAAATTAGTCCAAGGCAGGTTTCTCTAATGTAGATGTGCTATCTCGATTTAGAGCCTCAGGAGGTACTGGGGAGGGATAACTTAGAATGGCCCTGGTAAGGGCCTATTTCAAAATAGCAGCAGTGTAGTGTCTACACATGCCTTATTTCGAAATAGCTGTTTTGGAATAGGCGTTATTCCTCGTAGAATGAGTTTTACAGATTTTAGAATAAGCCATCCATTAGTTCAGAATTATTTAGAAATCATGGAATGGCTCTGTAGATGCTCGCATTATTTCAAAATAACGCTTGTTATCTCAAAATAATGGTGCAGTGTAGATGCACACTAAGGTGCTACAGGGCCACTCATTTTTTTTAAACTTTTTTTAAGTTACAGGCTAACATGGCTACCTCTGAGACTTTTTATCATTATAAGTAGTTTGAGCCTGTCTGTGCTTCAAAAACAAGAGGCAATTACATGGTTATAAAACAATTGTCTTTCGAACCAATTACAAAATGGCTGAAATGTAAATGGGATCTAACCAGACAAATGCTTTAGATACAGCATGGAAGTAAATATCATCCATATCATTAGTTTTATCCTTATAATTAGGGTAATACCAGGCCCTTCTATATTGAATAAAGGCTGTAAGACTGGTACATTGGTTAAAGTCCATCATTTCAGTCTGCATTCCAAAATATCTTCAGCAGTTTATCTATAGTATACTTCATCAATTAAACTGTTGAGGAGCATTGTGCTGTTGAACAGCTGCTGTGTTTTGGTGGTGGGGGATCTGAAACATTTTGTAACTCTGCAAAAGCACCTTGATTTGTGTAAAGCTCTATATACGTAGAAATAAGATGTATCCTTCTTAGGCCAAGATGCAGAAGCGGGAGGAACAGCAGCAGATTGCAAAGCGTCTCCTCGAAGAGCAGAAGGATGAGCTAGATGAAGTCACACAGGAGCTGGTGGAGACAGAACATGAAAATACCTTGCTCCGACGTAACATTGAGCGCATAAAGGAAGAGAAAGATATTACTTTGTAAAGAATTTACCGTTTAACTCCCATGTGTCCATGTACTGGAGAGATATTTAAAGAGCATTTGTCGCCTTTATAAACATATTAACAGTTAGCTACCAGGAGTCTAGGGCTGAGGGACACTGCAGAATTGGCATTCTGCTTCCTTCATAATGGTGCAATGAAAACTACAGTAAACTTCCGATAATCCGGCACCTTTAGGACCCAGGGGGTGCTGGATTATCAAATATGCCGGATTATTGGAAGGGGGGTTATGAGAGGTCTGGGGTGGAGTGGGAGGGATGCGCCCCTCGGCGCTACGGGACCAACCCAGCAGCACCCCAGCTGCTCTGCCCCAGATTTCTCCCAAGTCAGCCGCTGCTGAAACTGACCAGCGGCTGAATTGGGGAAGCCGGGGGCAGAGCAGCTCCAACTGTCCGGCTGCCTGGAACACTTCTGGGTTCCAGATAGTGCTGGACCATCAGGAGTGCCGGACCATTGGATGCCGGACCAGTGGAGTTTTACTGTATTTCTTCAGTGTGGTACTGTTTTTGTATAAGGGTTTTCTGGTGGTGGTATCAAAAGTCTGTCTTGGCATTCCCAAGGGAATTATTTGGAAGCAAGTAATGGTTTGGCTCCTGCTGTCACTTGTTCTCTTCATACATTTCACTGAGTGGGAAAACAGTAAAACATTTATACTGAATGTGAGCTGTCATCTCACCTCTTTTCTACCCCCCTTCCCCCCCAATCTCGCACGCTAAAGCTTATATAGAAGATAAATCTCTGAACCTTTCAGAAGAGCTGTATGAATAATTAAGGGTTAGAATACCAGAATTATTGAGCTGGAAGAGACCTCAGGAGGTCATCAAGTCCAGCTCCCTGCCCAAGGTAGGACCAATCCCAACTAAATCAACCCAGCCAGGGCTTTGTCAAGCCGAGACTTGGTATGGTCTCTCTGAACTCTGTATCAAGGATTTCTTTGAGTTCTAGTTGTGTCCCCTCCAGTTTTAGAACACCTAATTTCATGTTCAGCTGATACCATTTTGGAGGTTTATTTCTGGGGTGATACAGTTATTTAGGATTGTTAATATCCAGGAAAAATGGTGTTGTGGTTTAGTGTTGATGGGGGAGGTTGCTTTGGAATAATCCCAAAATTGGGTCCACCTCTAATATTCCCCACTTGAGGGATGAGCTCCTAGAACACACAAGATTAGTAAGGTCTGCTGATTCTTAGTGCAATCTACTTCCAAAACTGAAAAGTGGTAAATTTCTAGTATTTGTGGTATATCTTTTTGTTTGGGAGGTTTTTATGGGTTAACCACTGATCAGAAAGCCAAATTACAGTGCTTCCTTTAAGGATTACATTACCTGTTGCATTTGGCTATTGATTCCTCTGATCGCTGTGTTATTGCAGAATGCAGAAGAGGCACTTACAACATGAGAAGGAGTGTTTGATGTCCAAGTTAGTTGAGGCGGAGATGGACGGAACTGCAGCAGCCAAACAGATTCATGCGCTGAAAGATACGATTGGGAGACTAAAAAATGTAAGTGGTGGCATAGTTCACTGTAGCATTTGCTGTACTGCCACATTGCTGTTTCCAGAGCTGTCACAGAATCACTGGTTCAGAGGTTGTCAAGGAAAAGTGGAGAGGTTTCTAGGGCTTAAAGTGCTTTATTGGACTTTGGGCACAGCACAGCCGGTACGGAAATCCAGATTAAGTAAAATCTGAAGTCACTTTGAATTTACAAATAGGAGTTTACCAGCCAGACCTTAACGTTCCACTGCCCTTTGTGGATGTGATGCCTATGAACTGCAGACAAATACAAGCCTACCGTTCTTGTTTTAGGAGAAACACATGACCGGCTCAGATATTAATACACTGACAAGGCAAAAAGAGCTGCTGCTACAGAAATTAAGCACTTTTGAAGAAACCAACAGGACACTCCGTGATCTACTTAAAGAACAGCACAACCGGGAGGTGAGCAATCCTGCATGTTTGACTTTCCCTGATTTACAGGAGACAGCAAGGTCTTGTGGACTGAGACCAGAACTTGGAGTCAGACTGAGTTCTAATCCCAGTTTTGCAATTGACTTGTTATGTGATCATTGACAAAAGCTTCACCCAACTCAGCCTCCGTTCTCCTAACTGCAAAATAAACCTTACTCCTCTCTTTTGAGGCTCAGATAAAGTTTGAACAATACTGTGAAGAAGTTAAGAGCTCTGAATGCTAAGCAAACTGCAGGAGCAATAGTACCTCGGTGTAATTACTATTCCTACTGCAGTTTGTTGAACCTGTGCTGCTTTGGTCAAAGGCAGGTTAGTGGCAAAATACTTCTTCAGCCACCATTCTAGTTAAAGGAACCATTAAAGGCATATTTGTGCCCAAAGTGGGAGAAGTTTGCAAGATCTTAGTTTGCCATTGTGTATTTTAGTTAGGGGAGATGGGAGTGAGGAATGCTTTCTGAGATGGGAATTCTGGGGGGAAAGGATTGAAAATGAAATTGGTAGGGTTGACATCTTTCAGTATTATATGAGAACTGCTACTTGAGTGGGATAGATATTCTTGTGAGATGCATCTATCTTAAATTGGAAGGCATGTTCTCTTGGGGTTAGGACATGGAAGATGGCTTTGGGGAAAAAAAACGCTTAAGGAGCACTTGTTTGTTTGTTCTCTTGTAGAAAGATGCGCAGAAGTTGATGGAGCAGCAGGGGTTGCTGCTAAAAAGGCTGGCTGACTCGGATGCAGAGAAAGCGGTAACGCAAGAGCAAAAGCATTCTTTCAGCATATGGGAAGAAGATGAGATTTACATTTTGTTATTTAAAATATGGTTGACCAATAGTGATATGATATTGTAGAGATGCCATCTTGAGCCTGTTGGAGAAAGCTACAGTGGCCTCTTTTTAACTATCCATTTCTTCTGCTTCTAGCAACAAAGTTATTTTTTCACTTAGGATCTGGGTGTTATTTGTCTTCCAGAATCTGAAGATGAGGCTACAAGAGAAAGAGAAAGAGGTGGAAGATCTCAACATTCAAATACAGACAGAAAAGGTAGTTTCCCTTTTCAACCTCTTTGAACTACATGAACCTGCACAACTGTAGCAAGGATCTGAAATTGGAGGCAGCTATACTGAATTAAGGCCTTACAGGTTCTGCTTTCTTGTGTGAACTGACTGATTCCTATCTAATCTTCACATGGAATTGCTGATTTATTGATAACATCCATCTCAAAGACTTCAGGCAACAAATATAAAAATGATAGAAGTCACCTCAGAGATGGCTGTTTCCTAGTATTCTTCCAAAGCTGCTATTGTACACCTTGTTTGGGAGGGTCTCATACTGCTTGGAGGCAGAGCCCAGTTAAGTGCTTTGCTGCAGCATGTCCTGATGGGTGATCTCTTCCTTTTGCTAGGAACGATCACAGTTGCTCATGGTCTCAGGTTGCAATGTGCTCTGCTTCCTAGTCACGAGTTTCTAGAAAGCAGATGGACCACAGTCCAGCAGTGGCCAGGTGGAGTGTATTTTGGCTCAGGGCAATTCTTGCAGGCTAGTTCTTGGGTGTAGCCTCTATGCCATTTTAGAAATAGGGGACTCCGATCATGGTCACTTGAATGGAGAAAAGGATTTGTGAAGGCACTTAAAGGAGGTGGGAGAAAGGGCAGGACTTGTGGTGTAGTTGAAGAGGAAATATACGATTCATGGGCCTTAATGCAGAATACTTGTCTTTGTGGTACTTAGGATCACTCTAGTTTTCTGTAAACATTTTTCTCATATCATTCTCTCTGGACAAAACTGCTAGATGCTAGCAAACCATACAGGCCATGGCACTCTCCTCAGAACTTACACCCACAAGCTAACCTGGACAAATTTGACTGACCTGTCTGGCCTCCCTGCTCCCATGGCTAAGAAAATGAATCTCTGAGAGTGCTTTCTGGAAGTTTCTGTTATAGCTGCTGGTGTTAGTTGAAGCAGAGGCCTGAACTGTTGCCTGGTGTGAAATGTCCCATTTGCTTTGGTGCCTGGGAAAACACTTTGTCCTGTTTTGTTTCATACAGGATCAAGCGAAGACAGCATGTGAACTTTCCAAATCTATGGAGGCTGTGAGAGGCCACTTACAAGCGCAGCTGCGAAATAAAGAAGCTGAAAATAACCGTCTGGCTATTCAGATCCGGGTATGTTTTCAGTATTCACCAAACTATTCAAACAGAACAGCTGAGTGCACTTAGGAAGAGAGTGGCAGACATTGACTATTCTTTGCCATGCCAGAAATGAATTGCATAAGATGGTGTCACTTTTGCCTTTGCTATGCATTTTCTGCTGTAATTTTGATTGAGAACTAATCTTTTTTTTTCACTGGTGTGAAGTGAAATGATAAACTTTAAGGGTTAATTGTATCTCCAAGTAATTTCTGTTACTTTACTTTTTCCCTCAAATCATTTATGTTAACCAGATAGATTCTGCTGAACTATGTATCTGGAAGGATGGGAAAACTATTTGACTTGCCATCTGGGAAAAAGAAACTCCCTCCTATGGGTCTCTTTATCTGATTGCAACGAAGTGTGTTTGTTTGTTTGTTTCACTGAATGACTGGTGATACCTATGATCAAGGGTATGGAATGGCTTTCATATGAGGAAAGACTACAAAAATTAGGGCTATTGAGAAAAGGGACAGTGAAGGGGAATATGAAAAGAGGCCTATATAATCATGAATAATATGGAAAAAGTGAATAGAGAAGTGTTACATATCCTTTCACACCATAAAAAAATCAGGGGTCACCTGATTAGAGTAATAGCCAGTCAGTTGAATACAAACAAGAGGAAGTACTATTTCACACAATGCAGTGTACCTGTGAAACTCATTGCCATGGGCTGTTGATAGCCAAAATTATAACTGGGTTAAAAATAAACTAAAAGAACCAGACTATTAGCTAAGATGGTCAGGGATGCAGTCCCATGTTTGTAGTGACCCTAAACCTCTGTTTGCCAGGAACAGAAGATGGGTAGAACACTTCAACTGCTCTGTCTTACATGCTCACCCTGAACCACTGGTCATTGTGGGAGCAAGATACTGGCCTAGATGGACCATAGTCTGAGTCAATATGGTAGTTCTTAGGTATTGAGATGAAGAAAGTTGCCATGTGTTATCTTGAGGAAATCTGTGTGTTAAACATCTCTGTCTTTTTCTGAAAATTACAATGTTATATAGGAATGTTCTTCAAGACAATGAATTATTAAGGCAGATGCATTTAAATTGAATGGAGCTACTTCTGTGTAGAGCAGAAGGTTCCAAGGAGGTTATTATATTAGGGAGGTTAAATTTTGACTAATCAGCCGATCGAGTAGTTAATGGATTTTTCCATCGACTACTCAATTCGTCAATAAATGGGGGCCACTCGCTATCCCAGCTGCGCCTCTGCCTTTTAAATGTAGCAAGAATCCTGAAGCAGGGGGTCCTGACTGCTGCGTCTCAGCCTTTTAAATGGACCCGCAGGCTTTAAATGTAGCAAGAATCCTAAAGCAGGGGGTCCTGACTGCTGTGTCTCAGCCTTTTAAATGGACCCGCAGGGCTCTTGCTATATTTAAAAGGCTGAGGCGCAGCAGTTGGAGCCGGCGTGAGCAGGGACAGCTTGAGTCCCCACTTGTGCCGTTTCCCCCACTGCACAGTGAGTGAAAAGATTAAAGGAACTGACACAGCTCCTCAATTGCTTTTGGAGTGGAATATTGATTTTGTGTTTATAACCCTCACAGCAACACCATGCGATATTTTTAAGACCGGCAGTATGACATCTCAAGCCGACTTCCCCACTGCAAGAATGGTTTTCAAGATCATTTTGGGTCTTATCCCATGAATTAAGTGGACAGTGTTACAGTAGAAATGGCAGACTGAACTGAGATTACACTTAACTCCAAGATGGACCACATTGATAGATGGTTTATGTCCCCTTCTTTTCTCAGCTGCTGGGAGATGAGTTGAAAGTCCTGACTAAAGATAAACCCATTTCACATCGAACTTTTCCTTTCCAGAACCTGGAGCGCAGTGGGGCTCAACATAAGTCAGAGGTGGAACATATCATGGAACAGCTGCAAGAGCTGAGGCAGAAGGGGGAGCGTGATAAGGAGGCCCTGAAGAAAGCCGTACGAGCCCAAAAAGAGCGGGCAGAGCGCAGTGAGGAATATGCAGAGCAGCTCAATGTTCAGCTAT